CGGGCAGCCGATCAGCCTGCAGCAGGGAGCCCAAGGAACTGTCGCAGAGGGCATTTCGAGATCAACAAGACGTGGCTGAGGCACAAAAACAGCTCCCAGGAGCCTCTCGTGTGCCTTCTGCTTCACTGGGCAGCGCTGGGAGAGGCCCAGCCCCGCAGGACCTCGCGCTCACCCCGCGGATGCGAGGGAGCCGGGCTCGGGCTGGAAGCCACCAAGGGGTGTGCCCGCAGCGTGTTCTCGAGCTGCTGACCTCACTGCAAGCAGAAAAAAGGCCCAAGACTCCCCAAATTGCCAGCTGTCCACACGTGGCCACGCAGAACTGCCTGCAGGTGCCACGAGGAAGCCCTTTTGCCCCACGGGGAGCCCTCGGTGCGCGCTGCGGGTCCTCCAGGGCACCCGAGAAAGGCTGAGCACGGAGCAGGAAGGGAAAAGCACAAAGCAGGGCATCGCTTTCAGCTCTAACCCAAACTCACCGGGAAGGTGATTTCTGTTAGCAGCGAGTCCTCTGGGTTAGAACTGGGACAGCGTCGAGCTCAGATGGGATCTCGCACGACGACCAAGTTAAGAGAGGCTCAAACTACGCAAAGCCTCGCCTGAGAATGGTGCTGGGGGGCAGCTTGGCCCCCTCAGGTACCCACCACGAGCTCACACAGCCCCATAACCCAGGGAAAAGTGCTCTGCTTCGGTCCCTGGTGCAGCAGAGCTGCTCCACCACAGCGTAATCCCAGTGCTGATTTACTCTCAGCTCCCTCCCCCACGTGGAGCAGTTTCTTACTTCTGTGGAGTCTTAATGACCAAGTGCACCGTCAGCCCATCCTTGATCCCGTGTTGATTCAAAGTGTCTCCGTCCTTCAGGATCTTCCCGGCAAAGATCAGAACCAGCTGATCCTGTTTGGCTTTAAACCGCCTGGAAATCTCTTCTTTGAACTGAAAAAAATAATAAAAAAAAAAAACAAACAGAGCACGCGTCAGGCAAACGGCGGGGGCCAGGAATGGGAAGATAACGCTCCGGGTATCATCAGTGGGCCACGCAAATGGGGTAAGGAACCGAGAGCCCTGCAGCACCTCACCAAAAAAAGGAGCCCGTGCAGGCAGCAGTTCAGTCGCCAGCTGCTGAGGAGGGCTGAGGCGTTCAGGAAAACAAAAAAAAAAACAACAAAAAAGGTAAGGACGAGCCCTGCACCGCTTGCAGGACGAGGAGCAAAGCTCAGAAGGCGTCGAACAATTACCTCGAGGCGAGCTGGAGGCTTCCAAAGTTAAAATCAAGCGTGCCTCTTAGGGCTAATCCAACACACCGCTTATCCTCAGCAACTGAGATTTATTTTATTTTATTTTGGTTTATTTTTTTGGAAGGAAAGCCCTGCTCTGACTGCACAGGGGAAAAGGGCACCGTCCTTTCACTGCTGGCATCTCCTCTGTGCGATGGGGAGGGATTAACACCTGCCAATAAGCTCAGCTGGGGCATTCCCATGTTGATTGGAGAGGGAAAAAAAAAAGGAAAAAAAATAATAAAAAAAAAAAACACAAAACCTTTGCATTTAGAAGCCCCAGACCAGAGGAAATTCACAGGGAAAGGCTGAGAGGAGAAGCACAGGAGCTCAGCTCGCAGCCTTTGCACCAAAACCCCACAAACCCAGCACCCAGGAGGGCAAAGCCCTAAACCTTGAGGCTCTCCTCGCCCCCTGCCTCCGCCCCCGAGCGCCGTGGGGTTTTGGGGAGCTGCTTGGGAAGGAGCAGAAGGACCCTAAAAGCCCCAAACCACGCTGTGGGGCCGAGAGCCGTGGTGGTGACACCGCTTTGCCAGCGCCGGAGCCGTTTTTGTCATCCCCTCCCGCTGGGCTCCCTGGCAGGAGCAGCCCTCGCACCCATGGGTGCCAGGAGGGCCCCGAGCTCTGCCCCAAAAACGTTCACAGCCCCCGTTCTGCCCCCCCCAGGGAAAGGATCTGGCCCCAAACCCAGCACCCCGCAGGCTGGGCACCCCCCACCCCAAAGCACCGCTCCCCGCTGCCCTTCCCTTCCCAGCCCAGCCCCAGCGCCGTGCCCCCCATTCCCCCTTACCCGGGGGGGTTCCCCGAGCCCTCGCAGCCCCCTCCCCAAAACCAAGCCCTCCCCACAGCCCCAACGATGCCACGTCCCTCCCTGACACCATTCTGCCCCCCCTAAGACCGTTCTCCCCCTCCCCAACCATCCTCTCTCCCCACAAATGTTCTCCCCCCCAAAAAAACATTCTCCCCCCCAAAACCATTCTCCCCCACCCCCCACCTCCGACCCCCTCTCAACCCCCTCCCACCTCCCCCTACTCCCCCCATATAACCCAAGGGGGCCTTACAGCACCCCCCCCGCCCCCTAAAAACCATTTCTCCCCCCCTCAAACTTCCCCTTCCCCAAATCCTCACCCCAAGCCAACACCCCCCGACCCCCCAAATCCCCCTAAATCCCCCAAACCCCCCACATCCCCTAAATCCCCTACACCCCCCCAACCCCCCATACCCCCGAAATCCCCCATATCCCCCCACACCCCCAAATCCCCCTAAATCCCCCAAACCCCTCCAACCCCCAAATCCCCTAAATCCCCCACACCTCCCAAATCCCCCAAACCCCTCCACACCCCCAAATCCCCCTAACCACCCCCCCAAATCCCCCAAACCCCCCCATACCCCCTAAATCCCCTATAACCCCCCCATACCCCCAAATCCCCCTGAATCCCCCAAACCCCTCCACACCCCCAAATCCCCCTACATCCCCACACCCCCTAAATCCCCCGAACTCCCTAAATCCCCCTACACCCCCCAAATCCCCTTACACCTCCCTACACCCCCAAATCCCCCATATCCCCCCCACACCCCCAAACCCCCCCAACCCTTCCAAACCCCCCACACCCCCAAATCCCCTCAACCCCCCCTACACCCCCCAACCCTCCCCATCCCCCAAACCCCCCCCACACCCCCCAAAACCCCCTTACACCCCCCCCACCCCCACATTCCCAGCCCCCCACCTCTCTCACGGAGGCCCCGTCGGCGATGACGATCTCCTCCTTATCCTTGGGGGTCTTCACCGTCACTCGGATCAGGGCCCCCCCGGGCCCCCCCAGCTCCACCCCGCCGGGGCCCGGCCCTCCTCCACCCCCCTCCTCCTCCTCCTCCTCCTCCTCCTCCTCCTCCGCCACCGCCGCCGCCGCCGCTCGGCTCCGCCATCTTCGCCGCCCGCCCGGGCCGCCGCCGACAGAGAAAGGCGGCGCTCCCCTCCCGAACCCTCCCCGCTTCCCAGCTGCCTCCTCCGCCCCCTGCCGGCCCGGCGGAGCCTCTGCAAAGCTGCGGGGGGGGAAAAGGCTGGGAGCCGGGGAAATTTTTTGTTTTTTTTTTGTTTGGGATCGAGTAGGCCTCATGAGGGGGGAACTACAACTCCCAGCGTGCCCCGCGCTGAGCGGGCCGGGTCTGTGTTTGTCTATGGGGGGTGGACTACAACTCCCAGCATGCCCCGCGCGGAGGGGGGGGAAGGACTACAAGTCCCAGCGTGCCCCGCGCCTGGCAGCGGCTGAGGAGGAGGAGGAGGAGGAAGGGGGAGGAAGGAGAGGGGGGGGGTGGGCGCCGCCATGCTGCGGCCCAAGGCCCTGACGCAGGTGCTGAGCCAGGCCAACACCGGCGGCGTCCAGAGCACGCTGTGAGCGGGGCGAAACCGGGCTGGGGGCGTCCCTCAGCCCCCCCCGGGGCGAGCAGTGGGGTTGGGGGGGTCGTGAGGGGGCTGCTTGGGGGGGGAGGGGGTGGAATCCCCCCCCCTTCCTGACCCTAAAGCTTGTTTGGGGGTTGTTGGGGTCGCCCCCAGCTCCCTCATCGTCTTGGGGGGTTTGGGGGGGGGGGGTGGTGGGGGTGGCAGCCCCACCCTTGGGTGCTGGTGACCCCCCTCCCCCTATGCCAAATTGCCAAAATTTTCTTCGTTTTGCCTCTTTTTCAGGTTGCTGAACAATGAGGGGTCCCTGCTGGCCTACTCGGGCTACGGCGACACCGACGCCAGGGTGACCGCCGCCATCGCCAGCAACATCTGGGTGGCCTACGACAAGAACGGGCACCAGGCCTTCAACGAGGACAACCTCAAGTTCATCCTGATGGACTGCATGGTACGTGGGGGCTGCCCCCCACCCCCCAACCAACCCCACAGACACCCCACAGACACCCCACCGCACCCCCCCCAGGGGTCCTGCCCAGCCGGGGGTCCGACAGGTCCCGTTTTTCTCCGGGCAGGAGGGCCGAGTGGCCATCACGCGCGTGGCCAACCTCCTGCTGTGCATGTACGCCAAGGAGACGGTCGGGTTTGGGATGCTGAAAGCCAAGGTAACGCGGCGGGGAGGGGCGAAAAGGGGGCGTTGGGGTGATTCCGGGAGGAAGAGGATGGCAGGGGTGGAGGAAGCAGCCACGCCAGGGCTGCTGCTTCTTTCCCCCAGGCAGAGTTTTGACAGCTCAGGCAGGAAACCACCCGTTCTTAAGGCTCCGGGGGGAAATTTAAGCCAAAATAAGAGCACAAACAGCGTCTGTGCCGATCCCAAATCCCCCCCGGGTGCTGGGGCAGGATGTGGGTTTGCCCGCGGTGACCGGGTCCCCTGGGGGCTGCGGTCCCGGCGCGCTCAGCACCCCTCACACCAGTCCCCACCTGCAGGCGCAGGCACTGGTCCAGTACCTGGAGGAGCCTCTGACACAGGTGGCCGCATCCTGACCCCGGGAGCAGGGAGCTGAGGGGCTCACGGGGGACACCGGGACACGGCCGAGAGCTCCGACACCGTGGGGGGAGCCCCGGAGCCTGGACGTCCGCTTGCTGCAGGGGGGGGACCAAGGAAAGAGGAAAAAAACGTGTCTGGTGCTCGTGTCCTTCTGTGCTGCTCGGATAAAAGGAGGGCGAAAAGGTGAAACGAGGGCAGCTACCCCTCAGCTTGGGGTCCTGGGGGCTGCGCCAAGCACAAAAAGGTGCCCAAAACCCTTCTGCCTTCCTGCGGGGAGGGTCTGGGGGGGTTCTTTTCCCCTCCCTGCTGCTCTTGGATTTCACATGATGGCAGCAGAGGGGAGGAAAAGCGCCGGTGTCCGGCCAGATCCCGGCTGAACCCAGGGCCCTGCTCCTGGCCCCGCTGCCCCAGCCTGCCCCGCGCTGCGCCGGCCTCGGGATCGGGCCCAGCTCCTCCTCCGGCTGCCCCGTGACGGTCCCAAGGGTGACTTTACCTGCCCAACCTGCGCTGCCACCACCCGTCCCACCCCTTGAGTCAACCCGGCCCGGGCCCCGCTGCTCCGCCAACGCCACCCGCGGCGCCCTCCGCTCCCCGGCCCCGTTCCCGAGCCCCCCTGCTCTCGGGCTCCCCGGCACCGAGGAGACTTTGCCCTCCTCATCCCCCTCCTTGGAGGCCTCCCCCGCTCGAGGCTTTGCAGTGGGAAGGAGGAAAAAAAAAAACAAAAACCCAGCTGGGGCGGGCGACATGAGCAGCGCCGAGGAGGATTACAACTTCGTCTTCAAGGGTGAGGAGGAAACTTCGCCCCCTTGCCTTCACCCGGAGGACGGGGTGGGAGGAGGCCGGGGGTGCGCCCCCAGTTTGGTGTTTCCCAAATTGGGATGGGGCTGGGGGCTACCCCTGTGCCCCTCGAGCGAGCTGCAGAGGGTTTTGGGACTGGGGGGCTGGCGGTGGGGTCGGGGGGCTGCCTCGCTGCCCGTGGAGGTCCTGGGGACCCTCTGCCACCCCGGGGCACGGGGTAAATGGAGGGGGTGACGCGGTTGGGGCCGTCCCCACGAGGTGTAAAGGTGCCAGCCGAGGGCGGCGGGCGCTTCAAAGTCATCCTGCCGCGGTGCCCGGCGGTGGCACGCGCAGAGGACGCGGGTGCTGGTGTCCCCCCCACGGTGTCACCGGGTAGGACGGGTGCCACCAGCCCCCACGTACCCACCGGGGACGTCCCCTGGGCTCGGCAGCGTCCTCGTCCTGCTCCTGCTGCCTGGATTCCCCCTCCCTGAGCGGTGCTGGGGCCTCAGCGGTGATAAGGGGGTGCAGGGGGGGCTCTACGAGCCCCTGAGTGGCTTTGGAGAGGGGCTGCGAGCTCCCACAGTGGGGTTGGGGCTCCGTTTGCTGTGCCGGGGGGTTAAACCCATTCTCGCCCATGTTTGGGGCCGTTGTAAATAGGGCCAGGATGGTCCAGGGGCTGCTTTCTTCTTTTTTCTTCCTTTCTCCCTTTTATATTTCTTTTTCTCTTTTCTTTTTCTCTTTTCTTTTTTCTCTTTTTCTCCTTTCTTTTCCTTTTTCCCTCTTTCCTTTTTCTCTTTCCTTTTTCCTCTTTCCTTTTTCTCTTTCCTTTTTCTCCTTTTTCCTTTTTTCTTTTTTCTCTTTTTCTCTTTTTCCTTTTTCTCTTTTTTTCTCTTTTCCTTTTTCTCTTTTTCCTTTTTCCTTTTCTCCATCCCCTCCTGGGCTCACGACCGTGTCAGGGTCACCCCTGTGCCACCCTCTGGGACAGTCCAGCAAGGCAACAGACCACTGACGGGGCTGAATAAGGCCAGGAAAGGTTCTCCGACCCTCCCGAAGCCTTTCGGGTGCCCGCTGCGGCCTCGCCACCCTCCTCGCCGGGCCCCAGCGGGGATCTTTTCGCTTCCCTCCCCAGTGGTCCTGATCGGGGAATCCGGGGTGGGCAAAACCAACCTCCTGTCCCGCTTCACCCGCAACGAGTTCAACCACGACAGCCGCACCACCATCGGCGTGGAGTTCTCCACCCGCACCATCGTGGTGGGCGACGCCACGGTCAAGGCGCAGATTTGGGACACGGCCGGGCTGGAGCGGTACCGAGCCATCACCTCCGCGTAAGGACATCACCCCGCGCCCCCCCTAACCCCATAAACGATGCTGTTGTGGGGTATCACAGCTGGGGTGACGGTGGGGGCTCTTCCCCAGGTATTATCGGGGCGCCGTGGGGGCCCTGGTGGTCTTCGACATCACCAAGCACCAGACGTACGACGTGGTGGACCGCTGGCTGAAGGAGCTGTACGACCACGCCGAGCCCAGCATCGTGGTGATGCTGGTGGGGAACAAAACCGACCTGGCGCAGGCTCGGGAGGTGCCCACGGAGGAGGCGAAAATGTTCGCAGGTACGGCCGCTCGCTGCTCCTGACACCCCAAAAACGAGCGGGGAACCTCCAAGCTCGCACCAAAAAGGGATCCCAAAAATCCCAGTAGGGGCCCCAAAATGAGCCGTGCCCTCGCTGGGGTCCCCATCGTCACGGGGGGGCCGCTGTCCTTGCAGAGAACAACGGGCTGCTCTTCTTGGAGACCTCGGCGCTGGACTCCACCAACGTCGAGCAGGCTTTCGAGACCATCCTGAAGGGTGCGCGCTCCGGCACCGCGGGGTGATGGGGAAGGGGGGCGCGGGGTCCCTCACGGGGTCCTCGTGGGGTCCTGTCCCTCTGGGGTCCTGTCCCTCGTGGGGACCCGGGGCTGGGCGGAGGATTCCCAGCGCGTCTCTCCTCCGCCCTGCTCCACCCCAGCAGTTTTTGGGGCTGGTTTCGGTGCCGTCTTTCTGGCTGGTTTGGTTTCCGGCCCTTTTGCGCTGGGCGTTTCGCTCCCTGCCACCCGCCGGCTTTGTTCTCAGGGCCCCGGGGGCTCCTTCTCCCCTTGTAATCCGCGGTCCCCTGGGGGGCAAAAACCCCTCGGGGGCTCCTGACTCAACGTCTCCGGCATCCTGCTGAACCACCCGCAGGGCCTGGGGGGACGGAGAGGGGTGATGAGGGACCTGGAGCACCTCTCCAGGAAGGAGAGCGAGGTGTGCCATGGGTGCCATGGTGCCATGGGTGCCGTGGTGCCATTGGTGTCATTGGTGCCATGGGTGCCACGGTGCCATGGGTGCCGTGGTGCCATTTGTGCCATGTCCTTTGTGCCGTGGTGCCCTTTGTGCCGTGCCACCCCCGACACTCAAAGCCCTAACCCAAATTGGGCAAGAGGAAACCACAAGGTGTTCCCCACCACCCACGGGGACGCAACCGCAGCGCGCTGCTCCCCTACCCCTCAAAGCATCCTCCCTTTGAGGGGATCCTTCAGAGGTGTCTGCGCCCCCCCCCCCTCCAGGACACCAATCTGCCCCCTTTTTTCCCCCCCCCTCCCCGGACCCTTTTGTGTTTTGCAGAGATCTTCCAGAAGGTGCAGAAGCAGAAGCAGAGGAGCAGCCAAAGCAGCACGGTGTCGCTCGGCAGCGAGAACCCGGAGAGCTCGGCCCCGGCGCAGGGGGAGAAGCGCCCGTGCTGCGTGGCCATCTGAGCCCCCCCCCCGGGCAGCTCGGGGGGGTCCGGGACGTGCCAAGGGGCTGGGGCTGGGGCTGGTCCCTTTGGGCCACCAACCCCCTGCTGCGGCGTGGTGGGGAGCCTGGAAAGCGGGTAAATTCTGCCAGAAATGGTGAAAAGCCTCAGTGCCGGCAGCTCCGCGCCATCCGCCTCGTTTTTATGGGGTCCTGAGCAATTCACACCAGCACCCGAGCTGCCCCGGATCCCGATCCCGATCCCAATCCCTCCAGCCCCGCCGTGCAGAGGACTGAGACACCCAAGGGTGCTGCTGCTGCTTCTCGCCGGGGCCGTGCCACCCACGGGAGCTGCCGCGATCCTGCTGTGGGGTCTGCGCCACGCGCTGGGGACCTGCCTGTCCCCACAGCTCCGCGTCCCCAGTGGGGACAGCTTCGGGGTCACCGCATCCCAAAATGTGGTGCTGCCACCATTAAAGGACTTGCGAAAGGCGGCTCCGCTCTGCTGGAATCCCTCAGCCCTCCTGGCCTCGCCCTGCGCCCCCCACCCCATACCCATGGGGTGCGTCCCCATGGGGGTCCCTGCGCCCCTTCCCTTGTCCCGTTGCCCCGATGGCCCACGGGGGGATGCCCGGCAGCCGATCGGCCCCAAAAAGGGGCCTTTCCTGAACCCCCTGGGAAATGGGGGGATGTTTCTGGGTTCCCAGGGTCTTCTCCTGGGTGTGGGACCAGGGCTGGAGGCTCCGCATGGGGAGTGGGGTTGTGCTGTGCCAGGGGAAGGGGAGAGGGGAATAGGGGAAAAGGGGAATAAGGGAAAAGGGAAATAGGGGAAGGGGGGAAGGGGTGGGAGAAGGGAAATAGAGGAAGGTGGGGGGAAGGGGGAAAGGGGACATAGGGGAAAAGGGGGAATTGGGAAAAAGGGGGGAGAGAGGGAAAGGGGACATAGGGGAAAAGGGGGAGTAGAGGGAAAGGAGGAGTGAGGGAAAGGGGAAATAGGGGAGGGGAGAAGAAGGGAAGGAGGGAATAGGGAAAGGGGTAAAGGGGAATAGGGGAATAGGAGAAGGGGAATAGGGAAGGGGGGATGAAAAGGGGAAGGGGGAATAGGGGAAATGGGAAATAGGGGAAAAAGGGGAATGGGGAAAAGGGGGGGAAGGGGAAAAGGGAAATAGGGGAAGGGGGGGAAGAAGGGGGCTGGGGACGGGGGGCTGGGGGTCCCGGTGCCCCGCCGCCCCCATGCACCTGGCCCAGGTGAGCCGCCGGGCGGTGACGGACAGCCCCGCCCGCCAATGGCAGCGGGGGAGGGCGGGGGGGGGACAATGGGATCGCGGGGGGTGGCCCCGTCCCGCCTCCCCCCCCCACCCCCCCCCACGGTCCGGAACTCGGGGCAGGGGCAGGGGCAGGGGCAGGGGCACGATGCGGGGCCGGGACGAGGAGTACGACTGCCTCTTCAAGGGTACGGCACCGGGAACGGGAATGGGATCGGGATTGGGAACGGGAACCGGGACCTGAACCCGGATTCGGACCGGGACCGGGACTGGGATCGGGGACCGGGAACTGGGGACCGGGAATTGGGAACGGGAACTGGGACCTGAACCCGGGACCGGGACCGGGACCGGGATCGGGATCGGGATCGGGACCGGGACCTGAACCCGGATTGGGACCGGGACTGGGGTCGGGATCGGGACCAGGAACCGGGGACCGGGAACCGGGGACCGAGATCTGAACCCCGAATCGGGATTGGGATCGGAACTGGGAATCGGGGACCAGGGCCGGGAACCGGGAACCGGGAACCGGGACCTGAACCCGGGATCGGGATCGGGGTCAGGATCGGGGTCCTGAACCCAGGACCGGGAACCAGGAATCGGGACTGGGACCGGGGTCGGGAACCAGGGATCGGGATTGGGACCTGAACTGGGGACCTGAACCCAGGCCCGGGACTGGGGACCGGGACCTGAGTCTGAACTGGGACAGGGGACAGAGACTGGGAACCAGGACCCGGGACCTGAACTGGGAACCTGGGCTGGAACCAAGGACCGGGACCGGGGACCAGGGATGGAGACTGGGACCCGAACCAGGAACCGGGACCGGGGACAGAGACCGGGGTCGGGACCTGGGATGTGGGACCTGAACCCAGGACTGGGGCCCAGGACCTGAACCTGGGGCCTGGGCCCAGCTCCCGGTGCTGGGCAGGTGCTGGGTGCCCCCGCACCCATGGGTGGGGGGTGCTTCGGCCCCTGGGCAGCCCCAGGAGGCTGGGGGGGAGTCGTGGGCAGCGGGAGGAGCGGGGAAAAGCCCCCCTGCCCCCCCCGGGAAGGGAGCCGGGAACCCCGGGATCTTCTCCCCAGCCACCATCATGGGGTCCCAGTCGCGACAGGACGTCGCCAAGTCGCGACAGGACTGGCCAAAAATCGCGATAGGAGCCAGGGATGACCTTGCTGTGAGTCAGCCGCCAGCACCTCCCCCGGCCCCCACCCAGGAAATCAATCTCGGAGTTGCTTTGGGTCGGAAGGGACCTTAAAAATCTCCTCGCTCCGACCCTCTGCCGTGGGCAGGGACCCCTCCTGCTGAGCAGGTGGCTCCAAAATTCTCCCCGGAGCTCTCCCAGGACCCAGCGAGGGGCGTCCCCTGCGTCTCGCCCCTACTACGCCGGAGGCACGGCTCTGGGGGGGCCCAGCAGCGTCCCCCTGCGGTGCCGGGTTCCTAAAGGAGCTGGGGCTGAGGGCAGCTGGAGGTCGGGCTCTGCTTTTCCTTCCCCATTTTTCTCTTCTTAAAATTTAGAGAAATTTAGAGAACCTTTGAGTCCAGAACCCGTCGGTTCCACCCAAACCAGGGGCAAAGTCCAAGGGAGACGCGGTGTTTCGGGGCGCGGAGCTGGGACAGCGCTCGCTGGGTCCCCAGGGCTTTGCTGGGGCTTTTTTTTCCCCAAAAGGGGGCTGGTTTCGGTTTGAAGCAGCATTCTTCTGACTTTCTTATGAGGGAGCATCCTGCTCCTAAGGCTTCCAGGGACATGGCACGCGCGTGCCTCAGTTTCCCCATCCGGATTCGGCGCTGCCGGGGCCGTGCACGGGACCAGTGGAAGCCAAATTGCAGCAGCACTGCCGGCATCGGAGACCTTGTGCTCGAGCCAAGGGAAGTGGCAACCTGCCGTTAATTAAACACCGAGCCTGGATCAAAGCGCTGAGGCTCGTTAACGAACCTGGCACATTGCTGGCCTCTGCGTCTCCTCTGTTCATCGAGGGCAGCCCAGCCCAGCGTGGTCTCCCCAGGCATCCACACGGCATCGGGAGCCTCCCTCCCTCTGCTGCTGGTCCCTCGCAGGGTTTTGTCCCAGCTGGGGAGGGCAAGGTGAAGCCCCCCCCCCGGAGTCCTCATTGCCCCAGGGAACGGACCGAGCCAGCAGCAATGAAAAATAAAAAAAATCCAAAGCGGTTGAGTCACAAACCCAACAAACTCGACAGGGGAGCCGTGACGGGAGCCTCCCCGCAGCCTGTTGTTGCGCCAGGTTTGGCAGGAAATAGGTAGAAAATGCATCACCTGGCCCACACCCAGGGACTTTCCTCCTCCTCCTCCTCTTCCTCCTCACCTCCTCCTCCTCCTCCTCCTCCTCCTTGGCTGGTGCTCGCTTTGGGACCAGCTCTTTAAATCCCTGGTTATGCCCCGATTCCCTCGGGATGAAAAGGAGATGGGGGCCGATGGGGACGTCCAAGTCCGTGCAGGGCTGGGGATAATTTGGGGATAATTGGTGCTGCCTGGTGCTGGGGGGCTGGGGGCTGATGCTGTGCTTGTCCCCCCCTCCTCCCCAATCCAGTTGTGCTCATCGGGGACTCCGGCGTGGGGAAGAGCAACCTCCTGTCCCGCTTCACCCGCAATGAGTTCAACCTGGAGAGCAAGAGCACCATCGGGGTGGAGTTCGCCACGAGGAGCATCCAGGTGGACAACAAGACGGTGAAAGCTCAGATTTGGGACACGGCCGGGCAGGAGCGGTACCGAGCCATCACCTCGGCGTGAGTGTCCCCCCCCTTGACCCCCAGATCCCACGTCTCTTCCCTGGGAATCCACCATGAGCCCGTCCCCTCGCTGTCCCCCAGGTATTACCGGGGGGCCGTGGGGGCTCTGCTGGTCTACGACATCGCCAAGTACCTGACGTACGAAAACGCCGAGCGCTGGCTGAAGGAGCTGCAGGACCACGCCGATGCCAACATCGTCATCATGCTGGTGGGCAACAAGAGCGACCTGCGGCACCTGCGGGCCGTGCCCACCGATGAGGCCAGGAGCTTTGCAGGTATCCCCTAAACCCCATCCCATCCCACCCCATCCCATCCCCTATGACTCCTGCCTGAGCTCAGGCTGTCCTCGCAGAGAAGAACGGGCTCTCCTTCCTCGAGACGTCGGCTCTGGACTCCACCAACGTGGAGACGGCTTTCCACAGCATCCTGACGGGTAAGGGGTGGCCAGGAGGGGCTTTGGGACCTCTTTAAGCTCTGGGGGTGGGATCCTTCTTCCCTGGGTGCTCCCAGCCTCTTGAGCTTTTGGGAAAATCTGAAATCCCCTGAAATCCACATTTTTTTTTAAATCTTTCCATCCTTCTCCCCTTTTCTCGGCAGAGATTTACCGCCTCGTGTCTCAGCGGCAGATCGCCGGGCAGCCCGAGTCCGAGTTCGGCCCCAGCACCACCATCGAGCCCGTGCGGGTGCTGCCCACGCAGCAGGAGGGCCGCCAGGCTCCCTGCTGCCAAAATATCTGAGCCCCCCCCCTGCCCCGCGCACGGAGCCGTCGCCTTTCTCACCCTCTACCTCTGCTCGCTGCAGCCCCCCGGGAACGGGATGGGGCTGGGGGTCTCTTCTCCCGCACGGCCGCTCCGTGCCACCTTGTGCTGCTCTCCCCGTGTTTATGTAGGACCTACAGGAATGGAGAGGAAAAGCTCTCCCTGAGCCGCGTGTCCCCACCAGTGCCTCTCTTCCTCAGGGCTCGGGACGTGCCACCCTTCACCTCCTTGCTTTCTCCGGCCCCGAAGTCACCTTGGGGTGACACCCTAAGGCAGCCCACCCCTTGCCTGGTACCCAGGTTTTTGTGGCACCCGTGGGTGCAGCCTTTTGGGGAAGGTTTTTTGGGATGGTGAGGGGCCAGGGTGCGCCCTTCTTTCTGCCTGGCAAGAGACTGGGTGCACCCAGCCCTGGGCACGGCTCTGGGTGCGGATGGGGCGCCCTGCTGGGGGGGTGCAGGGGGCGATTCCCACCTTGGACCCCATTTTTGTGCCCTGAGCCCCTGCAGCGCAGCCAGCACAGAGGAAAAATCTGCCCTGTCCTTCGGCCGGGTGCTGGGACGCACGAGGAGGGGAAAGGGGGCTCCCAGGGTGGGGGGATTTGGGAAGATTTTGCCACTTTTGGGGCTGTGGGATGAGGACGAGGGATTTGGTGACAGCAGGGCGCAGCCTGGGGACGAGGCTGCCGCTAGATGGAGCGTGTGCTGCGCTCATGGGGGGCTGCCAGCCCCGATCCCACTGCCCAGGGGACAGAGCCGGGCCCCCCAGGGCTGGGACAGAGCCGGTGCCACTGGCGTGATGGGCAGGGGGCAATGCAGGGGTCATCCCATCCATCCCATCCCATCCCATCCCATCCCATCCCATCCCATCCCATCCCATCCCATCCCATCCCATCCCATCCCATCCCTTCGCCCCAGGAGCGCATCCCCTGGTGTATGGGGGGGGTTCTCTCTTTCCCCATCTGCCCACGGTCACCCCGTCCCACTTGGCAGGATTTTGCCTTGGGGCACGGTTTATTGACAAAACGGGAATTTGGACAGGATCCTAAAATAAAGTTGCTGCTGGAGGATTTTTCTGCCTGCTGGGGTCGTTGCTTGAGCCCAGGACCCGTGCCAGCTCCGGCCCCGTTTTTCCCCCCACCTTGGCACACGGCAGCTCGGTGGCATCCCCAGGCGAGGAAGGGCACAAAGAGGAGCAGGGTACAAAGGAAATGTGGGGCCAGCCCCATTTTGGCTTGATTTTACCCCTTTTTGAGCAGCCACCGTGGCAGCACCTGACCCTTGGCTGGACCCCCCTGGCGCAGCGTGCCCCCGGGCACCGCCACGTCCCCAAAGTGTCACAGCTTTTAGCTCCATTTTGCTCCGATTCCCCCGTTTTTACACAATTCCTGCTAGAATGTGGCAGAGGGGGTGACCCCAAGCTCACGGAGACGGGGCTGAGGGTGGCTGCGGGTTCAGGGCATGGGATCGCCGTGGAAGTGAAATCCCTTTGCTCTGAGCAGGGCCCCGCTCCCACCCCCCCCGCTGCTGGAGCCCTTCCCAGAGCGTGAACAGACAGAAAACAAGAGCAGATACCAAGTTTCTTAAGTAATAATACTTTAATAAAATTAAGTTCTTAATGTAATTTAGCACATTTAATACATTAACCCTTTCCCTTCTTTGTTTTTTTCTACAAGTTGTGCAACATCATTATTTTAATTTTTTTATTTTAATTTTTTTTTTCCTTCTCCCCTTATACTATATGCCTCAAAACTCAGACAACGAGCCTAACTCTACTTCTATGTTCGGTTATATCTCTCTCTCAGGCCTTTATTTTTGCGTAATGCCGGAGAGATGAAAATACCTGGATGGAACATGTGATCGGTTTCCAATAGTAACAATCCCGACTACAGGTTTCCTATGACGTTAAAAGAAAAGGAAAAAAAAAAAAAAAAAAAAAAAAAGGGAAAACACAACGTAACAGGGAATGGACTTTAAGCGGAGGGGCCACGGTCGGGATGCCGAGGCCGACACCGGCAGCTCCGTGGATAAAAGCGGATGCACGTGGGCTCGTTGGGCATTTCGGGCGAGAGAAAGTTCAGTGGCACTTGGCGAGCGAGGGCTGCGCGGGGCTGAGCTCCCCTGGAAGCTCCCTGGGGCTTGAGGCTTTGCTCGAGAAATGGGGAAATGGCCCCAAAAAATGCTTTGCTGGAGCCCCAGTGGCAGAAAGCTGGAGCTGGGACCTCCAATACTGGGAAGAGCTGGAGGAAATCGCAGCCGGTGCCGGGATCAGCCAGCACCACGCGCCCGGCCGTCAAATCCCACTGCCTTTCACGCCTGCTTCACCCAGGAGCAAACCCTCAATTGCAACACAGGATCTGGCCCTGGCTTTTTTATTTATTTTTTCCCTTTTCTTTACAATTCTCTTGAAGGGAATTCATAAAGAAAAAGGAAAAAAATAAATAAACCCAAAAGGGCCGATGGTCTCACAGCTGAGCAAAGCAGCTGCTGGGAGCCGAGGGAAGACCCCGCGGCCACGCGGCGCTGCTCTGCCCCGTCCCCGGTCCTCAGCGAGCTGTCCCCAAGCATCGCCACGAGACCAGGACGTGTTCTGCCATCAGCCACCCAGCGAACTGGCACCGCCACCGCCAGGCAGGGTGGGGACACGATTTCCTTTTTTATTTTTATTTTTTTTATCCCCGCGTAGCTGCGCAGACAGCGGTGGAACAACTCCAGATTTCACATTAGTGTCACTTTACCGGGGGTGACTTTCAATTTGCTCCATTAGCGGCCCTGGAACGATGCTGGCTCGGGTCCAGCAGGGACACCGCAGCCTGCCAGGGCTGAAGGGATTTTGGTTTCCCGGGGAGGAACCCCACCGAAGCGGGCGAGCGGCGCAGGGACCAAGGCTGAGGCTGCCCAACCTTGGCCAGGCTGACTGACAGCAGAACACGGCTCCGAGTTTCGACCCGCAACGCACCACAGACTGCTCATGAACATCCTAAAAAGGTTTTTTTTTGGAAGAACCTGCCCATCCTGGCTCCGCGGTGCTGACACCGAGGGAAACCTTTGCGGGGACGCGGCAGAGGCAGGATGGGACCCCCCGAGCCGTGGACAAGCGACCATAAAGTGCATCCGCTCTCCGCTCCAGGGCGCCGCTGCGCAATGTCAAGCACTGACTCTTCTTCAAGTATCAAAACCAAAAAAAAATAAAAATAAAAATAAATGAGGTAAAATGAAAATGAAAGAGCAAACAGGCCGCTCGCTGCCCCGCGGGGAAGGACCGGGTGGAGGGGTCGCGCCTCCGCGTTCCCGAACCGGCGCTGGGCTGACGGGGCGGGCGCAGCGAGCGATCTCGGATTCACAGTGCTATACGCAGAAACCGAATGAGAACTGTCTTCGCTTCCTGTCCTAACCTATTGCATGGCTTTGCTTGAATGCTGGTAAGCGACCGCCTCGTCCCGCCCCGGGTGCGGGTGCCGGGGTGGCCGCTGTGGTTGTCGAAGGCTTTGGGATCCTGGCGGATGCTCCCGAACCGCGGCACAGCCAGGGCTCGCTCCGGCTGAGCCACGACACCGAGGAGAGGAGCAAGAGCTAAACCCGGAGGTAACCGGCCACCTTGCGAGGGTGTTTGCTTGGCAATGCTCCGCTCCCTCCGCGAACAACGGAGCTTGCACTAGGTCTTTTATTTTAGCATCATCGCGTGTAAACAGGGGGTCAGTGCAGCGCAAAGCAGCCTCCGAGGGGCCCGAGCGCTTGGCTGGGCGCGCACGGAGCAGGGTCCGACCAGCCAGGGCTCGTCTTTCCTGGCACAAGCTAAGGAGAGGGCGAATATCTCGCCGCAGTCCCAGCGCTCAAGGGCTGAGCCTTGGCTCCCTCACCGCAGCCTCCAGCACCGAAAAAAAAGCCACCGAGCCGGAGCTGGCATCCTGCAAGCTGCCAGCCGCTCACGAAGCACCCTCGACCCAAAGCCGTACGCCGCCCGCTCCCGGCACAACCCCTTCCCCTTGCTGGGTCGAGATAGAACCAAGAAAGCAAGCAAAAAAAGCCCGAAAACCAAAGGGAACGAACCAAACCCTAACGGCCCGCGCTCCGAGCGCGGAGCAGGGCGCGCTCGGCACGGCTCCGCGCTCGGCACCGGCACCTCGCTGCCGCCAGCTCCGGCCGTCACCTTACAGAGGGGACTTCACCCGCGCCCAATTTTCCTTTCCACCCACCCAGGGACGGTCCCGCCGCCGTCACAGGGACCCCCCCCCGACACCTCGAGTGCCTGGAGGAGCTCCAAAAGCACAACCGGCGCGAGAAACGTTAACAGCAACGAGATTCTGACTTTTAGCGTTTGTTTTTTTTTCTGGAATTTCCATTTCTGTGCTCCAGGCCCGAGGCTGGAGGTCAGAATAAGGCAAAAATAATGGCCTAAAACTTTCTTATTTTGCTCAGTGACTAGCCAAATCCTTATACTTTTTATTAAAAAAGCAACATAAAAACCCAAACGCATCTTTTTAAAAAAATACATATTATTAGATCCCACTTTTTTTTTTTTCCCCTCTATAAAAATAACTTCAGGACTTTGACAGAAGGTACCAGTCGGTGGTCTGTTATTTTGTTAGGCTTTTCGTTCGTCGATGTGTTTGCTTCAGAAAAATAGTACCAAAAAAAGATGGAATTTCTGGGGAAGTTAAAAATGATAACTGATCTTGTTTACAAGTTTACTTTACATTCTGCTCTGTCTGGGATCACTTGGATCTACTATAGATTAAACAATATGGATAGCATCTACTATTTGAACTAGTTAATTTTATTTTAATCTTTACTCTAGGATTATATGAAATAAATTTGAGCGTTTATTATTATTATTTTAACTTTTTTTTTTTTTTAATACCCATCAACGCAAACTTTTTATTTTTTTTTTTTTCTTCTTCTCCTTTTTGGTTAAAAACAAACAAACAGAAAAAAAAAAAAATCTTATTTTAACATGCTTCTTTGAAAGGCAACAGAGCAGAAGCATCCCCCCCCCCCCTGCCGCCTCGCGACTGTGGGATGCGGGACGAGACCCCCGGTGGGTTCCCGTCCGTGGGGTGGCCACGGGGCCTGGGCCCTGCCAGCCCGGTGGGGACGGGCACAGCTCGCTACGTGTCCCGGTGCCCTCCTGGTTTGGGGACGGGTTCGAGTTTGGTGCACCCAGGGCTGCGGAGACGGAGCCAAATTTGGCCCAGGGGAGGCAGGGGCCGGAGCTGCCCCAGCGCCGAGCGGCCCCGAGCACCCAAAGGGCCCCGCGGAGCCTCCCGGTGCTGGGGGAGAAGCGTTTTTTCCGCCGGGATCGCCCCAAATCCTGCTTCCAAACGCCTCAATGGCAACATTTCCCCGTTGGCAATCCGGGGCAGGCCGGGGTCTGCAGGAAAACGAGCGAGAAAGGAGGGCGGAAGGGGCGAGAAAGGTGAGTTTGGCTTTCTGAGCGTGCCCAGCCTGCGCCAAAAAAAGCCCTTTTTCTCCCCAAAGCTGCCACCGGCAGAGCAAAGCGAGGTCACCCGGCGGCGGGCGCGGGGACGGACGGCACCGAGCGACCTCAGGACAGGGCCTGGGAACCGACCACGCGGCTCCGAGTCGTAGTGGTTTTGTCTATTTCACTTCTCCGGTTTGTAATTTCTTTTCATTTTTTTTTTTCATTTTTTTTCATTTTTTTTTTTCCGTTTTTAAATACATCCAACTGTGTTAATTTTCTTATTCCTGGAAAGGGCTATCTGCACCATAACTATCACCTTTTACATACACACACGCACACACGAAAAAGGAAACATATATTAAAAACACTTTTTAAGCAATACTCTGGATACAAATGTATTTTTTAACCTACATATATTCTAAACCTTCTAAACTTTTAAGGATCACTTTATCATAAAATAAAATATCCTTTTTTCTTATAATAAATTACCTAATAAAAAGTATTTTTATTAGCCCAGTTCCTTGCTACATTTACATGTAATAAATGCATTTATTAAAATAGAATATTAAATTATAAAGAAATGTTCTAATTTTAAAATCTTAATCTTTTTTTCCCTCCTCTCTCTCTCTTTAAAAAACACCAGTAAATGCATCAAAATAAACCCTTCAAATACCAAATAAACAGGTTGGAGCATTTTGATTTAAGAGGTTCACAATAGTAACAGTCTGAGCCTTTGTATGTATGGAGATTTTTTTTTTTTTTTAAGAAAGAAAGAAAAGAGAAAAAAATAATAGATATCCCTCCAGCTGAAAAATACTTTTGCAAATGGGAGCTAGGACAAGATATTTTTATAGTATCTCCTCATTAAATATAAATCCAATTTTGGTTCTCTCTCTCTCTCTTTTTTTTTTTTTTATTTTTATTTTTTTGTTTCGTTTTCTGTTATGCATTATAATACACACTATTCTCTACATAATTTACGTCGATGAGGATGACATCACGGCACGGTTATTATCTCATCCCTCCGCTTCCCTTTCTCACCTTCCAACCCCCCCCCAGCTCCGCCTCATCGCCTCTCCTCGGGGCGTCCCCTCGCAGAGCCCGGCTGGGACGCCTCCGTCCCCTCCCTGGCTGCGTCCCCAACCCCGGGAAGCCCGAAAATTTAAGCCGGACGAACCCTGTATTCAGCACAGCCCCCAATTTCAGCAAGCGCCCACCAGCCTCCCCCGGGCCTGATCCTGCTGAGCCCCCCCCGGGTGCTCGGCGCCCTGCTCTCCGTCCCCCTGCCCTGCACCCCAAAAACACAGCCGGGGGTGGCTGGGCCCCCCCTGGCTGGATGGGACACGGCGGGGACGAGGGAGCCCCCCAAAGCCAGGACCGTGACCCCCCCCCATCTGGAGGGCTCTGCTTTTAGCGGATGTTATTGCTGGTGAATTGGACCAACAAGCCTTTTTTTTTTTTTAATTATTATTATTATTATTATTATTTTTAGTCACCTATCAAGGAAGATACAAGTCAGAGCAAATAGTTAAGGTCATGGGCATTTTTCTCGTTTTTTGTTTTTATTTTTTTTTTTTTAAAGATTTTTTTTTATATATATACATATATTTAAAAAGAGAGAAAAAAAAAAAAAAAAAGTTACGCAAATTTGTTGTTTTAAGCCCCGCACAACCGGGCTTCCCCCTAGGACAGGGCCCGGGTCTGAGCCTCTCCGGGTGCCCCCGAGGGGCTGTGGGGGGGCGGCGGGGCCGCGGTTCCCCCCCCCCCACCCGAGCCCCCTGTAGCCCCTCATGGGCCAGAGGTAGCTCTCGGTGCGTTTACAGCGCCTGTTTTTTTTCTTCCAAAGTTGCTACATCAAAATACGGAGTTGGTTTGGGGGGGGGGGGATAGGGGGGGATAGGGTGGAAAAGCAGGGAAAAAGGCGAAATCAAAATAAAAGGGGGGGGCCGAAATACTTCTATTCATTTTAAACTAGAACTGCTACATCAAGCTTTCTTTTAATATATATGTATATGTATATATATATGTATATATATATATATATATAAAGGTTATTGGAACTGAAGATTTTATTAAAGGCCAACTTGGAGACTTGAGTAGGAACCTCGTCTGCAGAGAGGGGCAGACTGCCTGGACAGACGGACAGCAGCCGGCCCCCGGTTCCGATCAGCAAGCATGGATGTTTGTTTGGGTCATTAATTCATTCCTTTTTTTTGTTTGTTTGTATTTTTTTTCAACTTTTTTTTTCCTTTTTTTTGTTTTTTTGTTTTCTAAAAAGAAAGTTTTTTTTTTTTTTTTTTTTCTCTAACATTTTTCAGCATGCAGGAGGCTTTTACATCGCTTTTCGCTTGCCAGGGGAAGGGGAAAGGGATAAAAGGAGCCGACGAGGGCCCCCCCTTTATCCCTTTACCCCTTAACCCCCTCCAAATCCCTTAGGGTCAGTGCTAGCACAGGTCCCCCCCGCCCCAGGCCCCCACACGGGTGTCTCCTTCCCCCCTCCCCGCTCCCCCCCAACCTCTTCACAACCTGGCATCAAAGAAAGACATTGACCAAAAACTTGCTCACATTACCACGAACAGACTTCACTCAGCCAAGAACGACTAAAGTCACTCAACTAACACATCGGCCCCGGGGGGGGGGGCTCAGCCGGGGAAGCACTTTTGCCATTGCGTTTCCAGCTCAAGCCCCTCCGGTACCGACACGAACATCTCCGAACGCCCCCCCCTACCTCCCAGAATGGCGGTTGGAGCCCCCCCCTTTTTTTCCCCCAACCACTCTCTTGCCACCATCGGGAGGATTTTTTGGGGGGGAGAACGGCTCCGACGCAACCCCGGGGCACGGACGAGCGGAGGCGGTGGCGCGCGGGGCGCGGAGAGGTTACTGCCCGGCGCGCAGAAATGCTCCCCCCCCCTCTCTCCCTTACCCTTCTTCTACTGGGACCAGACCAAAGCCAGACTTTGAACAAGAACCAGGCTGGTTTAGGAAGGACGTGGCTGGCCACAGGGCCGAGGCTGAGCCTCCCCCGGGCACACGCTCGCGTCCCGACCCTCTCCGGGCACCAGCGGCTACGCGCGCCGCAGGGCACGGAGAACCAGGCAGCCGAAGGTTTCTTAAAGCTTTGGGGAGGAGGCGAGTACACATTCGACCTGACAGTGTCCCTTTAGCACAGCATTAATATTTTTTTTTTTTTTTTTTTTTTTTTATCTCTTTTTTCCGAAACATCAGCATCCATTACAGAACCTAGGAACAGCGTCCACCCCTCCATCTCGCCCCCTACGTCATATTTTACCGTCGATGCACGAACGGTGGAGGTACATCATTTCACGCCCCCTCCTCCACCCAGCATCTGGAGATTGAAAGCAGACCTTTATCGATGCAGAGCACCGGAGCAGCCTGCCCCGGCACCGGCAGCAAGCGGCAGCAAACCGAGCAGAAGAGGGGATGTTCCCAGGAACATTATTACGATGAAAATAAAGTCTCCTGTAACTGAAGGGAAAAAAAATCTCAGGCGATTTTTATTGGTATTATCATTATTATTATTATTATTTTTCTTTTTTGCTGTAGAACTGTCTCTGCCAAGTTGTGAAACTTGCTGGTTCAGTTCTAAATCAGGGTCCAGGATCTGTGAGCAGAAGTCGAGGGGCAGGAAATGGGGAAGCGGTGGTGGTGGGAGAAAAACTCTATATATAATTTCTATATACATATATATATATAGGTGCTCGATGAGTTAAGTGCCTATATATATATATATATATACACACATATATTTATAGATAGGTATACTGGTACTTGATAGGTTAATCCAACACACATCTTTACCATCACGGCATTTTGGCATCCACAGACTGGTTGAACAAACCTGATGATGTTAAGATGCTGGCTTGCATCTTGTGTGCATTGGCACAGAAGCCAGATTCGAAGCCCGTCCTCTCCCAGTTCCCAATGGTTTAGAAAGTATCTGATTTAACAAAACCAGGAGTCTTGAAATGATTAAAGGATGTTCAACAAGGCAATTCTTTTTTTTTTTTTTTTGTTTCGTTCTGAAAAAAATATAATATATAAAAGCGGCCAACCTCAGGAAGATCCAGGTAAAGGACAGCTGAAGAGGTTTTGGTCCATAAAGAAATACTTTTTCTTCTTTTTTTTTTTTTCCCCCCACTCGGTTTTGGGTAACAAAAGTTTTGGTCCAGTTTAAAAACGACGACAACAAAATTATATATATAAACTCGGGGTTCTTTTTTGCTTTCTGTTGGGATGCATGTTGGTTTCATATGGGCTCATTGCCTGTATTGCATGATCGTCTTTCTTAGGTTTTGGTGTGATATATATACTTTTTAAGAAAAGAAAAGCACAATGTTACAAGTGTGTGTGTGTGTGTGTGTGTGCACGTGCGCTTGCGTGTTGCATGTAGCTGCAGCTGGCATCACTTGGAAAAAAGGATGAAGAGTGAACTACAGAAACGCGGAAGTTGATACACTCCCCCCACGGATGGGAACTCAGGACTGCTTTTGAAATACCCTGTTAGTGACTCCTGATTCGTCTGATGAACAAATCCCTGCTCGGATAAGGAAAAAAGAACAAAGTTCCAAACTCCATGGTGGCTCAGAATAATAAAATAAATGCTAATCGCCCAGTGTGATTCCAATAGGTTCTTCCAAACCTTCTTCAGCTTCACCGGCGTCAGTTTTATTTCTTCTTCGTCTTTTTTTTTTTCTTTTCTTTTTTTTTTGTGGCTTTTTTGTTTTTGTTTTTTTTTTAGAAAAAAAGGAAAACAATAAAAGTTCTTTAGCTGCTGTGGTTTTTTTGTTTAAATCTTTGAGGTAATACAGTTGTGCCCTCGTTCTAACAGGTTCCCAGAGGTTGATGGTTTCTTTTTTTTATTTTTTTTTAAATCCCCGACATCCGTTTTCCTTTCTTTCTATTTGTTTCTTTCTGAGCTCCCAGTTGGGCTGACATCCCTGGGGGGGAGGAGAGTAGGGGCTTCAGACCAAGATGAAGATTGAACATGGCTGGAGAAGAAAGGCTGGCAGGGCCCTCCCCGCATCCCTGCTCCCTTCCCCGTCCGATCGAGATGGCCTGGCTTGGTCAATGCAGAGAAGTCCCAATCTCACCACCAAAAAAAACTGAACTAAACCGCTTTGCTTGCGAGATCCGAGTGTGCGTTCAGAGTACTTGTTTTAAAAAAGACATCGCAGGCTGGAGCATCGTTCGCCCTTCAAAATTTCTGGCTTTGCTATTCATTTTAATTTTATTATTCACTTTTTTTTAAAAAATAACATACATTGCTTGTAAAATAATTTCTTTTTTTTTTTCTTCTTCTTCTTCTTTAAATTAATTTATTCTTTCATTCGTTTGTTCTTCAGATGTCATTATTATTATTATTATTATTATTATCATCACTTTTCTTTCCTGGACCCCCCCATGCTCCCTTCCTACCCCCCACCCCACCCCAATGCCCTGCTCTGTCTCTTTAGGAAAATATTCTAATGGCCTGAGTGGCTGCAGCGTGGCAAACCGGGCACTCCGGATCAGTCCTCTCGCAGATCCTCACGGCACACTCCATGCAGAAGAGGTTGTGGCCGCACGGCACCAGCGCTGCCGTAACTTCGCTTTCGAAACACACCATGCACTCGCGGCTGCTGGAGACAGACGTCCGGGCAGCGGCAGTCGTCCCCAGCTTGGAAAACCCTTGGAGCGGCTCTCCTTGGGACCGCCTGGGGAGACCAGAGAGATTGGGCTCTTGGATGGAGGAGGATGGGGAGCGATGTGAATTCGGGTGGATGGCACCAGTGCTGCTGGAACGCTGCTGTTTCGAGAAGAGCACCGAGACAGGGTTGGTGTTCTCCTGCCCAGCCCACATCGGGGCGCCCGATTCCGGCACCCCGTAATACAGATCTTGCTTGTTCACGCCGTAGTTGGGGAAGAGGTAACCATAATTGAAGTCGTTTTGGTCATTCAGCCGGGGTGTCTCGTAGACGGGGTCAACGGAGCAGTCGCCAATGCAACCCAGGCTGTTCTGCCGAAAGGTGGAGAGGGGTTTGCAGCCCGGCGCCGGCGTATGGACCCGCCAGGCCTCCGAGTAGCGGTTCTCCATGCCGGAATCGGGGCTGCTGGAGAGGAAGTCATTCTCATTGTTGTACTCCAGGATCTTGCCCGTCCTCACCGCGATGTGGGTCTCGATCTCCTCCCGAGCACGCTCCACGTTGCCCGGCGCACCTGTGATTTCGAAGACGGGGTCCCGGTCCCGACTGGGCGTGATGATGTAGGTGTTGGTCTGCTGCTGGATCCGCTTAATGGTGGCGCCCTTGGGGCCCACCACCAAGCCCACCACGCGGTAGGGCACGCGTACCCGGATGGTGACTTGCCCCGGCAAGGTGGGAGCGCTGCCGAAGGTGGTCCCGGCTTTGTTGCGGGAGGCCCTGATCATGGAGAAGTGCTCGGCTGCGGAGATGATCTCCCGCCGAGCCATGGCCACATCCTCCCGCCGCCCTGTCACCATGAAGACCGGTTCCTCGCCTCTCACCGGCGTCTTGATGTAGGTGTTGGTCTTTGCCCGCAGGGCTTTGATCTTGCAGCCTTGGGGAAGAGAAGGAAAACAAGGCAGGGAGGTTAGAAAGGACGCCTCTCTCACCACCCTCCCTTCTTCTCAGGAAACCAGGACAAGCCACCTCGTTTCCAGCAGCCTGTGTGCACCGTGCCACTGCCCAGGGGCAAAACACGAGGGAAAGACCTTTACTCCCTTAACGGGGACAGACAAAATGCCAAAGGTTCCCCCTCACTCATAGCATAGCAGGAGCATCGCCCCCTCCAGGAGCCCCCTCTTCTGCCATGCCCAGGAGGGCGCCGCCATTTTGTGCGCTGCCCCTCACCATGCAACCCCCCTCGGATGCTTCCCCTCAGAAAGCAGCCATCCTTCAGAAACCACCCCTCAGAAATTTCCCACCCCCAGGAACCAGGGAGAGCTTGAGCCCTCCCAATGGGCCAGCGGGCTCTGTGGGGAAGCCCATCCTGGCCAAGACCTGGGCCCTGCCATGTTGCCCCTCAGCGAAGATGGCCGCCCCAGTTGCCCCTTGCCACTAGTCAGCGTGTTTCTCGGTACAGCGGCAGGATTCCTCTCTGCATGGAGACTTTTGTCCTAGTGTGGGGCTTTTGGTGTGAATCTGTGGTGCGAGCCAGACTCTGTTCTTTAGGACAAGCCTGGGGGAAGCGACAGAGATGCAGCACTTCAGGCTCCCACCTCAGACATTGTGGGACCCCCGCTGTCAGCACTGCTGGGGGCTGGCGGGATGCTACCATTTGCTTTGGGGCTAAAAAAGCACAGAACAGTGCAGGGCTGCCCTCCTGCACCGAGGCAGAGCCCTGCCACGGTGTGTGCAGCCCTGCTCCCCACCCAGGGCTGCCTTCTGCTCTTGGCCCCTGCTTTGGGGCATCGAACACCGGTGCCACATGGCTCCCCACCACAGCGGCCCAGGCACTCGGACCCTTTCCCAAGATCACTTCCCATGCCATCCACTTGTGATGCCAACACCCACCCCCTGGAGCCCACCAAGCCTATTCCCTCTGCTCCCGACAGCTCAGAAAATGTCTTTCTGCTTTTCCAAAAAAGGCAAGAGACTTTTCACTGTGCTTTGGCTTCCAAGTCTTTTTTTTTCAGAAGGGTTTAGAGGCAGCAATGCGACTCCAGGTTCCTCGATGACACTAGGATGCCATCGAGCCACTAAATATTTTTACAGATGTGGCACAGTTTTCTAAACTACTTCTGGAAGCCCTCCCCGCGGCTGCCCCTCTGACCCTGCTCTCCAAAAGCCTCGCTCAGTGCCTGAAGGCATTTTCAAAGCCTTGGCACCGAGTTCCCATTCAGACTGGGGCTTCCTCTGTGGGAGGAGGTTTGCTCCAAGCTTGGGTCTCTAAGAAAAACTAAAAAATGTGCTTCTCCAGGGTACTGCATTCCTCCTAGTGAAAATGGAGTTAGGGGAGCATTCTGCCCTGGCTTCCCAGGCATGCAGGTGTCTGGACACATCAGGCTCAGTGCTCATGGAGCAAAAAGATCAGGATACTGCATAAAATCACCTGTCCCTGCAACCTCCTCTCCCCAAAATGAGCCCACCTCTTCTCTCCTGCGACTGTTTGACACCACCCTAGCTTTCCACAGCACACTATGCCAACATCACACTTCTAACACAAAATGACCCGCCAACGATGCTTCTGTGACCAGGAAATTAAGATTCCGCAGCTGGTAGGCTGGAACATTATTATTTATACACACCCTAATAAATAACAACATCTCTCCCAGCTGGGAGTTGGGGGCTGCCACTCGCTTAGCGCCGCCACTTATCTGCAGCTCGTCTCACAAGACGCAGACTTGTGACATTGGGGTACTTGCAGGAACGTAACGATCCCACCACCCCTTATCATTAGGGAGAATTGAACCCTGCACCTTCAGCGATAAAAGCAGAACCTGGTGCCGCTGCAGATGGCAGGAATGTTTCTCCAAGCTCGCAGCAGTGCCATGCGCCACGCGCGGCTCAAGCAATAGCTCCAGCTGCACGAAGCAGAGGCAGCCAGCCCGACGGGTCGCACTCCCTCTCACAACACCACGCGGGCACTGGAGTGCAGCCTCATCCACCAAGGAAACCTCCCGGCACAGCTTTGAACCCCCCTTCCCCTCATTTGTCAGAGGGTTTTGCCATGGGTGTAGAAACGCAGGGCGTGTGCAGGCAAATCCTGACTTTGCTGCAGACTCCCACTGCAACTTTTAACTCCTCAGAGTTACTTCGGCTCGCCGAGCCTCGGTCCCCGGTTTGTAAAATGGTGAGAATTGCTGTCTCTGGCTCTGCGTTACCACAAAACTTCCTGTAACAATTAGTGTGGTGATGCTGCTGCATTAAACGCATCTCTCAGCCACTGATTTCACGCTCCCGGGGAATGGAAACGCAAGATCTGACACAGAAAGAGCCAGGCAAATCCTGAAAGTCCAAAGCAAATCCAGCCCCTGCCAGTCCTGTGCAGCCAACACGTTGCTCCCCACGGAGCTTGCACCCTGAATTGTATCTGCAATGCTTTGCTTAGCAAAGTTTTTAAACAGTTGATGTGGACCAATGGCAACCTACAGCGGTGTATTATTAGTACTTGGGAAACTCGGTCAAAGAACAGGACAACTGTAGAATAAAACCAGAATAAAAACATGCACACAAAGTAAGAGAATAAAGGCTCCCCCAGGGTGCCTACGGAGGGCAGGATAAAATTGTATGGGGTTACCTGCACCCTCCACAACCCCGAGGCTGCTCCTGGCCTGTCCTGGGCAGACGTACGCCTGCTCCACATCTGTGACTCTGGCTCCGAAGATGGAGATTCCATCTTAGGAAGATTAACCAAGATGCCACCATTTCCCCAGGGATATCACCAAAGCGTCACACGGCAAGAAACGGGGGTGTTAGCAACAAGCATCCACGCTGGAGATGAGTCCCGTGCACTGCTGGGGACTGAGGCAGGGTTTGCTGAATTCCCCCACGCCCCACGTCCTGCCTCCTAGGACCTTGAACAGGGTCCGTAGGTAGGGATTCATTAGGGCTGGGCGCGGGGTCGGCGTTTTTTAAGGCACGGGACAATGCCCGTGTGTGGGGGGAGAGGGATCCGAGCCCCGCATCACAGGGAACAATCGAGGAGGTGACACGGAGGGTCAGGCAAGCAGAGCAGTGACAAAGGACAGGGGCTCCACGCTGGGGCCAGATGGAAGGGAGCAGTGGCAAGGAATACACATGAATGAGGGCAAGCGTCAGCGAGTTACATGAGCTGGAGAGGGTGGGAGGGAGCCAGGGATGGAGGAAAGGTGATGGAAATGGAGGGGAGAGGCGAGCTGTGATCCCGCAGGGCGAGGAGGAGAATGAGGGGTGTGGAGGCCAAGGGAAGACACCCCAAAGAGGCAAACGGGAGACGGGCGAGGAGAGAGAACGGCAAGGGAAGGGGAGGGAAGATGGAGAAACGGACAAAAGGACGCATGGTGCAGTCGATGGTGTGAGAAGCAGGGGGAGGAGGGAGGGAGGGTCTCTGTGCAGGCCTGCAGACAGGAAAGCCAGCTTTGCGGAGGCAGACAGATGGGGGATCCTGCGCTTAAAAACTGGAGAAAATAACCCCACAGGAAATGAGACCAACTCCATCAAGAGCAGCAGGTTCAGTGGCCCAGATCTCCTGCAGCTCTAAACCGGTGCAGACAACGGGCCAAGCCGTAAGCAGCGCAAATCCAGATAACTCCACCAACTTCCAGGAGGGCTGCACTGATTTACATCGGCTAAAACCAGGCTGCGCTGCAACCTGATGTAGCCGCAGCTCCTTGCCTACCCCAGCCCCAACCTCGACCTTGCCGCACACCACAAAATAGGGGCCGAGCTCCCTGACACCGCTCTGCTTCTGACAGAGCATGCCAAGATCAGAATATGGCCCTTCATGTCCTGGCCAGATTAGCAGCACAGTCTGGAGTGCTTTTTTTTAAAAAAAAATATGAAATTTGCCCTGTGTGTTTTTTTTAATGAGAGGCTTTCTTTGTGCGTAACCGAAATTTGGAAACAACATGCAACAAACTGCTTTGCTTGGGAGATTGTTAAAAAAGGGGAGAGAACTGCTTAGTAGGTGGTGTTAAAAATGTAAAACTAAGAGAAAAGGACCTGTAGGAACTATAATAATGTGTAACTTTGCTGTAGCATTCTACTCTTTAAGGCAGTGTGCAGACATCAGCTAATTGATCCCTGGCAGACTCCTGCCAGTTGGATTTTTATATTAGAGAATTAAGCTCTTTCTTGTTGTGTTTCCACTACCTAGCTTCTATTATTCTGATTTTCTTTTTTTTTGCCAGTAACACAGATCCCAAAGCATTTTGCGAAGGAGGCTCGTACGATCATTTCCTCCCCCCACCCCTTTTTTATTTCCTCCCCCCACCCCTTTTTCCTTTTTAACTTCGGTTAACTGATTGCCAATTGACTCCAAGTAAATGTGTTTGCAAATTACCCCAGTAAGCCACAAACCAGGAGCGAACCCTTGAGGGCTGCCGAGCCTCCGGCACCCAGACCAGTCACCTAACTGGAAGGAGCCCACAGAGCACGAGCTCTGGCTACAAATAAATAAATAAATCTGGCCTAGACGTTGCCAAACTGGAGACGGGGGCAAGTCAGGGGGTGATTCAGACGCAGAGCCAAATTCTCCTCTGAATTAGGGGTAAGCAAATCCATCAAAACTAACGGGGAAGGCTTAAGGAGCTCGAGCCACCTTGCCAAGGTGACGAGGGTGTAGGATACGTCCAACCTGACTGCCGTCTACTTTGCAGGGGCTCATCCCAAACCTTTCCTCACTCGGAGAGGCCTGAAACCAGTGTGGTTCTGTGGGACCTCCTGGTTTACACCGAGGCTCCCGTGCGCTGCTCTGGCGGTGCCAAAAGGCCTTAAAACAGCTCCAAACCTTGCACGTGCCCCCTGCACGGGGCAAATGCCAGCAGGAGGATGGCGTGACAAAAAACCCAGGCGTGGCCACCATCGGGAATTTTACCCCAGTGTAAATTCAGGGTGAAACCCACAGACACCCTTCCC